ACCATTTTGTCAAAAAAGAACATTAAATTTTATGTCTATATTTAAAAATTATATTTCCTTTATTATGAAAATAAAAACCCAAAAGAAACAAATACAATATAATATTGAAAATTCCTCGGGCAAATTAATACTAATACATAAAAATATTAGTTACCTAAAAATAAACAAAGGGAAGTGACTCCCACATGTAAACACCGAAAAAGACATCGTGGCATTCCCAACTACCATTAGCTCCAAGCGTCTCATATGCAAAATCTCCTTAATCAACAACACCCACCTCCCCTCTCAGTGCGTACATAACATAATATAAAATATGATTGTCTAAATTTTAAAAAATATTACAACCAAATCGTGTTTCTAGTTCCATTCACTGCCACTGCCAGATCTTTATTAGAAAGTGCTAAAACTTCAACAACCAAAAATGTATTTTATTTTATCGGAAAAAATTACCATAATCATAATTTTTTTTCACAGAGTCTATGAAAATCATAGTTTTGGCGGGTCTCAGCGTACAACCATCCTCCTCATCCTCATGTCCCTTAGTCCTTGGACCGTTGGGGCGTCACAGATGACATGTGAACCATCCTCCTCCATTCCTCTCTGTTAGGCACTCCAACTCAAATTTTCAAATACATCTGACATACATAAAGATTATATCATTGGAAAGGGCTGGCTCTAAGCTTTCCAGTGACACCAAGATAATCTTTCTATCACTTATAGGAGAAAAGTTATTAATTTTTTAGTGATTTATTTTTCCCCATTATTTGGCTTTGTATTTAATTTTTAAGACTGTGATCGCATTATTAATCTTTTTGTACTATTTTGCTTGTATCTTTTTTGCTATTAAAGTTAGAGCTCTCAAATTTGGAGGAAACATTAACAATACTATGTTTAACAAAACAAAACACATGATTTGTGAATTAACTTATTATATTTGATAAAATATGATTTTATTAGCACATGGTGTGGATAATGACAATTGTCGAAAAATTTAATTTTACAAAAAATGACATAATTACTAAACCAATAAAGCTATTGCTATAAAATTTTCAATACAAACAGATAATGTCCATATAAAAATAAGGCACATTTAAAATAAATAAAATACAGATCAGAAAAATTTGTGTAATTTTAGAAAAAATAATTCATGAAAAGCAACCGCGGCCGAGAAATTTTTACATTTAAATACATAACTTTTAAACTAATGAAGCTACTGCAATCACACTTTCAGTAAAAATAGTTTGTGACAATCCAAATGAATGTCAGACATGTGCGATGAAGCGCACCGCGTTATGTTGGATTCGCTCCATCTTGTCCACATCTTGCTTTAGGTGTGGGTCCCAGATGATTGCACCATATTCTAGTAGTGGATGGATGAGTGCAAGATAGGCATTTCGATTGCAGGAAGTTGGGCAGTGGCGCAGATTTATTCGAATGAAACCTAGTGTGGAGTTGGCTTTTTAAAAATTTTTTGTTAATATGGGGGTGACCATTATAGGTTACCGGGTATTTGAATTGAAAGAGAATTCCAAAGTATGGATTATTTGATACTTGTTTGAGTTGATGTTTTTTTTCTTGATATGCTCATTGTGTAGCATTTGGTTTCATTAAATTTCATGCCCCATTTGTCCGCCCAATTCATAAGGCACGGTCCACACACAGCAACAGATTGTATCCGTGTGCCCTGTCCACCTGAAAGTATACAAAATATTAATTGAATTTTACAATGAGTGAATTGAAAATTTAAATAAATTTAATCAAAACACAATTAAACAAAAGGAAATATATAGAATATAGGTCTATCAATACACCCTTATATCTAATAGTATTAGTCTAATACTAATAATAATAGCTAATAAATAAATTGTTTATAAGATGAGGATTTCTTGTTTGCAAATTGAATAATTTCTTATTGTATAAAGAATAATTGTACAAACAATTAATTTAAAACAAATTATTATTTTTTTGTTTACATTTATATTGTTTAGTAATATTATGATCAGAAACTGTTGTATAATCAATGTTTCATAGATTTAGAAATGTTTTATTTAAAGCGTTTATTTCCAAATAATTTCACCTCCCTCTGGTCAATAAAATTATGTAAAAAAAGATGGCCGCCGTTTTTTCATAACATGCAAATTTTTTTCCCATGATCGATATCATAAATTCCAGACATAGCCAGTAATGTTAAAAATAAATGCTTTCAAAGTCAAAGGGATCAAGCTTGCTCTACATAAAGTTTTTACATATCTATATGCTATACAAAAACAAAGAACATAAGATTAAACTTACCCACAGTTTGCGCTCTGACTGTTGGCCTGAGCCAGGTCAGAATAACAAAGAATTTATACCATCGTGACCGGAATTCTTCAGCGAATAGAGTTTAAGGCTGAAACTTACTTATTTTTAGAAAATTACGCATTGGAACGACAAAGCCCGACATATACCGAAACCCGCCCTTCGCGGCTGGTCACAAAAATGTACCACACGAACCCCGCGGTTTTTTTTGCCCGCGTCGTCCGGTATTGGAGTGCCTATCTCTGTCTTCAGCACTACCCACTGCATCGCCCAGTGTTAGTCCTGTCCACTCTTTGATGTTATCCTCCCATCTTTTTCTTCCTCTTCTTCTCCCTCCTCTTGTGGCTCCCCTGCAATATTTCTTTGGCAAGCCCTTGTTTCCTTGTTATGTGGCCGTATCATCGTAGTTTGCGTTTTTTCAGTATCAGTAGGTCATCGTACTCCCCAATTGCCTACGAACCCTTTCTTTCACTGATTGGAAATATGGTCCCTATAGCAGATGCCAAAAATGCTTCTGAAGCATTTCATCTCCATCACCTTTATTTTCCTTTCAAGATCGGCTGTTAATGTCCAGGATTCGTAGGCATACAGGAAAATGGAGAGGACTAATGACACTGATTAGCATGTTATAAAAATCATAAAAAAACATCTAAAAATAGTAGTCGTAGTAGTAGCCTACATTATATGCCAAAATCGTAAGAGTTAAGTTAACAGGTCTGTTGCAATAATCCCCCCCCCCCCACATGTGAATTATGTGCCAGCCTTCTAGCTCGCCTAAATTAGGAAAAGTAAAGTACTGTAAGGGGTAAAGTTAAAGTAAAAGTTAAAAGTAAAGCAGCAATATAAAAAAATGTGGTGGCTTACCCTTATTAAAGTTATTATTACCCTTTTATTAGCCTGCCCTTATTATTAAAATTAAGGCCAACTTCCTCTTAATCTGATGGAACTAAAGGCCTAAAATAGCGTCTTTTTATTTATGTACAATAACCATTTAACAAAATTGAACAAGATTTTTAAAAAATGTAGCCTACAGCTCATGAATCTTTTGTGGTTTACGACGCCATTGTGGGAAAACAAGGAGAACATTGACAGAAGAGCATTGACAGGTTGGAGGCGGTCCAGCGACGAGCAGCACGCTTTGTCCTAAACCGCTACAGGAATACCTCTAGTGTTGGCAGCATGCTAGAAACACTAGGCTGGTCACCATTGGAGAAACGACGACGACAATCCAGGCTCTCCATGATGTACAAGATAAATAATGGGCTGGTCCAC